ATTTTCTGACGACGAGACTGTGTTATCCCACATCATGGTGTATACAACCCCAAGAAGCCAGACAAATTAAGAATTGTGTTTGATTGCTCTGCAAAGTTTCGTGGGATCTCTCTAAATGACACTCTACTGACAGGTCCTGACTTAATAAACCCTTTGCTGGGAGTTCTTTGTCGGTTTAGAAGGGAAGCAGTTGCTGTGATCTGTGACATCTAACGGATATTCCACCAATTCAGTGTCTCACCCGAAGTTCGCAACTACTTAAGATTCATCTGGTGGGAAGGCGGACTGTTGGAAAAGGAACCTCAAGAATACAGAATGACAGTCCACCTTTTTGGGGCTGCATCCTCCCCTGGATGTGCCAACTTGTGTCTTAAGTATCTTGCACAGCAACACAAGGTGGACCACCCTGCTGCTTCAGCATTTCTGGAGAAGAACTTCTATGTGGATGATGGGTTAACAAGTGTCCCAACTGTCAAAGAAGCAAAGAAACTAATTATTGAAACACAGGAACTGTGCAAGGGAGCAGGGCTACGTCTGCACAAGTTCAATTCAAATCAAAGTGAGGTCCTTTCCTGTGTAGCTTCATCAGAAAGGGCAGTAAACACTGATCCTCTCAATCTTAAACCCTATCCAGCTGCAGAAGCACACATACTTCTATCTGACTATCTGACATTTATATGCTTGAGATATTGACAAATTGTACACACGCAAGTGTAAATTTTCCTAGTATCACTGTGTTTTAACCAATCAGGCTGAAACACCTATATATATGATGCAGTTAATTACGTTATGTAAAAGTATAATTGTTGATGTTTTGAGATTGTAAGCAGCCTACATACTCTTTGCAAGTGTAGAAGATGGCTTCTGCTGATGAAACTGCAAACTATCTTCAGTAAACTGACAGAAGTGGGTCGGAGTGTCTCGATCAGGCAGGCTCCTGAAGTCCCTCCTCATGATCGCTCATGATGCCCGTCTGCTGCAGCCTTTTGAGCATGTCAATATCTCCTTCCTGATGCCACGGGGCAGGCTGGCTCTAGCTTTTTTGAGGGCTCCTGATTCGAAGGCTTCATCTCTTGTCTGAAGCAGTTCACGAAGCTCTGCTGTCATACACAGCTTCTGATTTGCATGTGTGGGTTTCGTATTTATATTTAATTTTAATTGGATTGTACTATCATTTTAATTTAAATTAAACATTGTAATTTTAAACATTATTCAATCTTGTTAAAATTGTATAAAAAGAAAATGATATAGGCCTATTTGATTTATATACACATTTCACTTTATATTTGCCTACTAAACATTACTTAAAAATGATGATTCAATATTTGATATTTAATATTGCTTGGCGAGTGCTTGCAAATACAGACAGAGAAACCACTCACAATTTCCAAAAGCTTCTTCATTAAGAATTTGGTCACACTTTACAATAAGGTTCATTAGTTAATGTTAATTAATGCATTTACTAATAGGAACAAACAATGAACAATACATGTACTACTGCATTTGTTTTGTTTGTTAGTTAATGAAAATACAGTAGTTCATTGTTACTTCATGTTAATTCAGTGCATTAACTAATGTTAACAAGCACGGACTTGGATGTTAATAACGCATTAGTAAATGTTCAGTTATGATTAATAAATGCGGTACATGTGTTGTTTATGATTAGTTCATGTTAGTAAATGCATTAACTAATGAACCTTATTGTAAAGTTTTACCAAGAATTTTTCTTTCGACCTTGTAAAATTTTTCAATAGCTATATTGAAATATATACGTCATACACATTATTTACTAAATATATCAATATATACATCAGTCTAAAGCTACAATTCTCAAGCAGCGATTGTTGCAAGTTGTTTTTTAAAGGAAAGCTTCTAAAGAATTTATTTGCTAAATTGTAGTACATACTACAAGTAGATACATTTATGATTGTAAAAACAAGACACACACACATACACGCATTTTAATGTACATCGGGGTTTATTTACATAGGTAAAGGTCTGATAAACAACATCTCAGAGCACATTTAGTCTAATGACACAATAGTGTTAACTTATGAATGGTTATTAATTTGTTTACAGTTTCTTAAAGAGACTTAATATTTACATTGTTTAATACGCTCACTGGCCACTTTATTAGCCACTTTATTAGGGACACCTGTACAGCTGCTCGTTAAAGGGCACCTATAGTGAAAATTCTACTTTAAGATGTTTGGGCAGACATGTGTGTAAGTATAGTGTGTATACTGTCATATTGGGGTGATATAAACAAACCCAGTACTTTTTTTTCTCAAATTTAACAACATATAAACGGTGGACCAATTGGAGCAGTTTTCAGATCGACCGTGTAAGAATTGAAATATTTCAAATATTTTTAATGTCTATGACAATTCAAAACATGAGCTGAAGACAGGGCCAATGGACTCCACAACCCACCAGGGGGGAATGCGTGAAACACCAGTTCCTGCTGCATTTGCATCTGACTATGCTGAAACTCAGCTTCATCCCCCCAACTCACGCATATGGTCATTTCAATGTTTGAATGTTTTAGATTAACCAAACTGACTTTAATTATCATGTTTGATATCATTTGAAATGTCTCAGTGCGATTGGTACAATGGTCTCATTCTCTCAGAAATAGACATAATCAGAACAATAAATATATAACTTCAGGCATCTTTTGAACCACTGTGAAGGGTGTGACTTTTATATACACACACCCCCTTCCTTGAGGGAATTCTTGGATTATTTAAGGTAAGGTCTAAGAAAAACTCAGGGCGATTCTGCCTAACCAAATCAGCCCATAACATGGCTTGTTCCATGTTATGTATATTTCAAAGTCAGGAATGCATCTTTTCATCTTGACTTTATCTTTGATAATTTGATGTTTTGTATTGATCGTTTATGAATTGATTGATTGAATTGGCATAATACATTTACCTGACTAATAGATTGTTATGTTTTGAATGATTCAAACAGAGTTCGTGTTATTATCTTTAGGAGATTGTGGTAATTTCATAGCACCACAAGCACGTGTTCAGGTTAGTAGCGGACTAGAACACGGTAGACGGAGCATTGCGGCACGCTACACGATGTCTCTAGAGCTCCGACTAACGAATTGGCATTTATTCATGTATACTTAGGCTGTAAAAGGATATCTAAGGCGATAGTCCTTCACCCGATAAACTTATAATACTATTTAGATAGTATAGTGATTATTCAAAGTTACTACTAGTTTAAGTACGACTGGTCTGCTTAATTCTATAGTAATGATCATTATATGACTAAATAGCTCTGTCTGATTTAGGAGGTAGCAGACCTATGGGGACCGCATAAAAAATATCCTAATCTGAGTAAGTAGGGTTCTGCCTTTTTAGGATAGCGGTCAATTGCCACTGTTTAGTGACCAAGACTGACATGCTTGTGCTTAAGAAATTGTATACTCGGCCGGTACAAGATTCAGGATGTTAAAGAGATCCCAATGAACGAGAATAACATAAAATGATGAACCGAAGAGAATATTCAATCATAATCTAAATTAATGTGAACGGAAACAAAATAACCTTCTCAATGTTTTATAATTGGAGTCAGATAAAACGAGGATAAATATATTAATATTCTAAACCACCTCATACTAAAATTGGGGTCAGATATGAGTTAAGTTTAATAAAAATCAACATTGTGCACTGGAAAGACCGAACATGCAGTGAACCTTCATTCACCAGTGGATACCGTCATTGGACCAACTGGCTGGACCCTACAACCGCAACTTTAAGTAGGAGTGCGGTCACGTATATATATATATACGTATACACATATATATACATATATACACATATATACATATATACACATATATACATATATATATACATATGTATATATATATATATATATATATATATATATATATATATATATATATACACACACATATATAAAAACATGTTAAAACAGGTTTTAAAGAATTTAAACAAAAGACATAATAGTGTAATCTGTTGGCCATAGCACAGTGCTCTTTCAATAAAGGCACAACTGAAAAGAAGTGAGATAGAACAGAGTATTTTATAATGTGAGATGCCTTGTATTCCAGTTATATACAGTTGTACATATATTAGTTAGTCTGTTTGATTCTATAACAGGAATGTGAAATAAAAGAACAAAAATACTGTTATTCTTGAAGACCAGAGATCATTATTAGTGAGCTATATGATGGTGTATATGTATATCTATTTAGATATATTATGGTAGACATGATATGTGGCTCTTGACCTATTACTTATCTGGATTACATAACATAAGTTTATAATGCTCAAAATGAAAAAAAAGTTATAAATGCCTAAGATAATAAATGGTAAAGCCCAAAGTGTCTTCTATCTAGAATGAGAACGTACAATACAATGTTTATCAACTGGTACTGTTTTAGTTAGGGATGGCCATTTTTGAAAAAGTCCCTCTGACAGTGAGAGAGAGGAGACGACAGATGTAGTCTCAGAAAACATTTAGCAAAAATTACATTTTGCAAGCTATCCTCATCAAATTTGAAAAATGTCATGAGACACTTTGCTTTTTAATACATTTTTCTAGGTTACTACAAGACTCATGTGTTTGTATATGAAAAACAAAATTTCTCTCTTTACCCAAGCAATAACTTTTATTTTTTTATTTTTTGAGCATTACACACTCAACAATCAATAAATCTCAAAATGTCTTCTTTCCGATGATACTTATTTTGTGTTTGTAGCTCACTGAGGTCTAGGTAGGTGTAAATGACCATAAGTGGGGTGTTGGCTAACAGGTTTAAGCCCAATGCAACAAACACAGCAGTATTAGACTAATTTACAAATAATTTTTGTAAAACATGTATCCAAACTTATGTTCATTTTACTTAGTATTTTTGCCCTTTATACACTTTAGATTTCAGGCTTTGTTATAGTGTCTGTAATATGTGCTGTTATAATTTAGACTGAATGAATTCTTTCTGCGTTTACAACAGCTTTTTATTTTTTTCTCCCAGTCATGCGCAATATACAGTTTTTAAATCAGATTTAATCAGTAGTTTTTTTTAGAAAACAGCGATGAATATATGTAGATGTCACATTGTATTTATAAGCAACATATTGGGCAAAAATATAACTTAAAGAAAAACATTTCTGTTTTAAATACTGCATAGTGAACAGTTTTTTAGGTTAAGGATCAATTAAATGTGCCTGGATCGACATAGGCATAGGCCAGGAAATCTCCTACTTTGTTGCCTTTATCGTCATAGTGAAACATTCGAAAACACTGGTCACAAAACAGGCAGGGGTCCATTGGGGCAAGAGCATCATTGGTTGTTATCCATCTGCCAAGCAAAGACAAAAAAAAATATTTTTCACATTTGAACTGGTTTCGACAATGCCTAATGATGACAGAACAAAAACTTCAATTGATTTGCAGATTTACTAAACTAAGACTATTAGCTCAATACACTAATTAGCTGTTTTTTAATAGTTAGCAAGGTAGTAGTTGGGTTTAGATATTGGGCAGGATTAGGGATGTGGAATCAGCTCATACTTCATAGCTAATAATATACAGTTGATAATCTAATAGCAGGCGGCTAATAAGCCAGTAGTAAATGGCATGAATTGTGACCTAAACTAAAGTGTTACCAATAACTCAAACCTGAAACTCAAGGGTAGGCAATGATTAATGGATACAAATTACAGTATATATTTATAGTACAAATACAGTATGTAAAAATTTCAGCTTTTGCAACTTAAAAGGTGCAGTAGGTGATCTGCCAAAATACTAACTGTTAGCATAATAGCTTTGAAAACATGCATCACTCTCTCATGCGCTTTGTCCTAAAGCGACTAATGTATACTTTGTATGTATACTTTTTGGCTGAGCGCTAAGATAAGTTAGGTTAATATCTTAATTTATGTAACCCTGTACACTGATTCTACACATCTGACTGATAGCTTGCCTTTATTTCCTATAATATAAACTTATGGTACGTTATACTTTTAAATGGCCATTATTGATTATTAAACTGATATTCAGCAAAAGAGAGGGTATGTTTCGTATTTTCAATGAAAATGAAAGGAGGCAATTATGTTAAAGCTTCTGTTTTGTTATAAATATGCATACAGTGAAGATGACGCTCATATAAATATGTAGCTACATGACGCCTCAACATTTTTGGTGTCCAGTTAATATCAAAATGAAAGTTAGCAGTTCCTCATGTCATGTTTTCATTTTATTGTTGAGAAAATGAAACAACGTAGCCAGGATGATGTGAATGAGGTTAAAGAGTACACTGATCCCTTTACATGGGATGTAAATGTCATCCCTTGACATGTCCTCTAGAATTTGTTTTCCTTAGGAAACTTGCAAAGTCTGAACTTACAAGGAGAGGATGCAAGACCTGTGTTTAGGCTACTTAATATTGAGAAAAAAGCCCCATCATTTTCAGATGTCTCTGTTTTCCCCTATCCACACTGAGACACAACAGCCGCGGTTTAAAAGGAAAATGGCAACTTTAGCGTTTCCAAAATGCTCAGTTTTCGGCACTCGAAAACTTCGGCGTAGCGTGGATGGATGGTGTAACCGTAGCAAAACTTTTGATTTTTAAAACTAAAACTTATTAGTGTAAGTGGGGCCTATGTTAGTCAATGTTTTGACCAACGAGAATCTTCCTACCTAGATCTATGATGTAGTCAGTAAACTTGCCTTATGTGACATTGTGACTGTAAGGCAGAGAGCAGCCTACAAACTCTGTGAACATTTTCAGTAAATATTTCCACAATTAATCTCTAACCCCTGCTTCGTCTTTGTTCATCATACCAGGTCCTTGAGTTTGACAGTAAATTCCCCTACACTTAAATTTCCAGTTGGTTTTTAATAGTTGTATAAAAGCATATCATGGATTTCAATATGTGGATGCATAAATTGTGACAATCACTGTTTGGATTTCTGCTTTCGCAATTGCGCAGTGACTGACATTTCAAATGAAAAAGCAAAGTTCATTAGCAAATGCATTTCCCATTTCTTACGAGCTATGAGCCTGACATATCTAAATTGCATTTGAATTTCCGATGTCTACACTGAAACCTGTCAATCAAACGTCAGGGGTGGGACTACTTCATTGGGCATGTTTGTATTTAGAAGTAATCTCACTCAAAGTCGACATAGTTAAAGACTATAAAATAAAATAAACATCTACACCTCAGGTGTCAAACTCAGTTCCAAAAGGGCCGCAGCTCTGCACAGTTTAGTTCCAACCCTAATTAAACACACCTGATCAAACTAATTGAGTCCTTCAGGCTTGTTTGAAACCTACAGGTAAGTGTGTTGGAGCAGGGTTGGAACTAAACTGTGCAGGGCTTCGGCCCTCCAGGGATTGAGTTTGACACCCCTGATCTACACAATGGAGTTTAGTTCTGTTTGGATTTTCAACAGTATTTTGTTACAAAGAAAACAGACGTGATATAGCTTTGGCTATTTATTTATTTTATATATGGCTATTTTTATTGTTAATAATTTGCATAGTTAATATTGTTCTTTGATTTTCAGTTTATAAAGATTTTTCAAATGTTATTTAATTTAAAAAAAGTTTTTAAAATCATTTTTTTTCACCCCCCACGGGAAAACAAAATTTGTTATACGAACCGAATCGTGGGTCAAAAATAGTGATACAAACCGAATCGTGGGTTTGGTGTATCGTTACAGCCTTAATGCTGAATGATTAACATATAAAATGAAACCAAAATCTTGCAATTATGCATTTACATCCACATTGTAAAAATATATGAAAAGAATAACAATTATAATAATAAAAAAACAAAACAAGAAGGGTGTAGGCTACATTAACATTCGCTATATAAAAAGAGCAGGTTAGTTTAAGTCTTTATAGTTCTAGTTGCTTTTCAACCTGAACATCCTTTAAGGGTTCTATCTGTCCATTTATATTTGCATTTATTATATATAACATTGTTCAAAATTTAACAGATTTAATGCCTCTATTAACCGCATTCTTTCTATTTCATAAGCTCGTGATAAATATGTTTGTGAATTTTATTTTGCATGTTTGCACGAGTGTTATTTGAGTGTTTATACATGCATTAAGTTCAGGCATTGGGACTATATACCAGTATATGTGTGTTTGCATGCAGTGAGTTTGTTGTTGTGGGTGTATATGCATAGATCTAGTTATATGTATGTGCGAGTTTGTATAGGTGTGTTTGCAAGCTGTGACTTATGTATGCGCGTGTAAATGTAGGTGTTTATGCGAGAATCGAGTTTATATGTATATGCAAGTGTGTACAGGTATGTTTGCATGCAGCAAATTTATATGTATGTGCATGTGTTAATTTGTGTTTATGTGAGGATCGAGTTTATATGTATGTGTGTGTGTGTGTATTTGGGTGTATGCATGCGGCAAATTTATATGTATATACGCAAGTTTCATATGTTGTTTTGAACATCCAATAGTATAGGTGTATAAGCACATGGTTTAAGTATGTGTTAATAAGCGAAGCTTAATTTAAATCCTACAAGGCGCCTCATAGTGGCCTACAATTTGACATTCCAAATATGCAGTTCAACCGATTACCTGCTGATATAGAGATGACACACAGAACACTTCCGAGTCATGACTCTATGCTTGTGAGTGATGAGTGGGTAGAGCTTTATGTCCAAACAGTCATCCTGATGGACCAATCTAACACAAAGACAGAATAAAATTAAATTAATTTCACTATTTATTATAGTTACCACTATTAACAACACTGAAAAACTTTTGCTATATCAATTTCCAGCTTTTTTGAGGTAAAAAAATATATATTTTAAAAGCTTTGAAAAGAGATAATGTCTGACCTGACGTCAGTAAGGACAACAACATGCTCACAATCACCCTGGTGAGTGTATAAGTATGGAAACCCGACTTTCATCTGCAGGTCATTGAAAGATGTGTCTTCCATCCTTGCAGTCTTGAAATCTGGGAAGTCTCTGCTTCGTGTCCACTCTTTTATTACCCTTCAGCAAGAACACATATTTTGTAAACAACAAGTTTGTAAAATTCACAACCAGATAGTTTAAAATAATAATTTTAACTGCAAAAAAAAAAAGTGAAAACAACTTATTACAACATTACAGCGACAGAACAACAAGCATCATGATCTGAAAACCATAGTAACCAAAGGGGGGAAAAATCTAGCCCTCTCCATTGACTTTGCATTACAAGATGCTACCTCCCAATTGCTATGTCAGTGCCCATTTGTTATCCAATGTACATGATCCAATGTGACATGGTCCAATGTGACAAACTAAAATATTTACAGCTATTTGATTTGTAGCTTTCTGCTTTATCCACATTTTTAAAAGTTGCAAACTCTCAAAATGCTACAGCTCAGTTATAATTAAATTTAAATATAAAATTGACACCTGGATATTTTCAACTATCCTTTGCCACTATCCTCAAAAGCTGGCTTTTACAGCTCAGAATGCTTCTAAAAATGGTTTTATATTATCATTAGCTTTATACCCTCTTTGTGGAACCCTGGCTAAAGTTACAATCTATTACAAGAAGAAAAAAAAGTATAGTCATAAATATATGCAATTTTTTGGGATCTGAGTCTCATTTTAAAAATTGCTGCTGTCCTCCAGAGGTCCTGTTTTTGGCCTAGGCAACATGTACTCATGCAGTCTTCATGACTGAAGTGAAATACAGTATTTTTCCCACCAAGGCAACCCAGTGCTGAAATATACAGATGTTAACCCTTTAACATGTTCCCTTTGTAAATGCACCTGCAGCTTTAGACCACCGGGTGACGGTATAATCATAGACTTAGTCAGCTAAAATATCAACGCTATTTTCAGCTTTGACTTTTCACAATACTAGATAGGACAATACAGTATGTGTACCGTATGCACAGGTACTGTATGTGATCTGATGCTTTCAATTTAAATATAATTGCCTTTGGTTGTTTAGGTTTCCCTGGTAATAAACATTCTTTAACACTATACTGTATGTTTTAGAAAAGATGTCTACAAAATATGGCGAGAAACATTGCCCATAGGCTGCAAATATTAAAAGCAAATAAAATAAGTTCTTTAGCCTTTATATTGCCCTATTAAATTGCATTGGGGTAAAGAACATTTAACTTGTAAATCCTGTAGTTTTATTTGGAATATGAAAAAAGTATATTAAAATAAGCAAATAAATAAATTGAACAGATTCTAATGACATTTATTATAATAACACAGGAAATTTCACATTTAAAGCGCATGTTCTAGGTTAAAAAAATATTTCAAAAAAAGGAAGAGTTGCTTGTGAAAATATTACATAAAACCATGAAATATCATATTAAAATGTTATACGACGTGCAAGGGCACAATTTGGAAAGAAAAAGTGTCTGTTTCTTTCCCGCTTCCCAGAAAACCCACTTTTTTCTTCCCAATGCGACGTCACCGCGATGGTGACTCATCTGACAGGCTTGCTCTGTTTATAGTGAAGCAGAGTAGCATATAGCAGAATCAGTGGTCCCACTTTATATTAAGTGTCCCTAACTACTATGAACTTACATCAAAAAAATAAATACAACGTACTTACTGTGTTTATAATGTATTTGAGAACACTTGTGGTGCATTTGAGTTGGGATAGAGGTTGGGTTAAGGGCAGCTTTAGTGGTGTGGGTAGGTTTAAGGGTAGGTTAAGGTGTAAGGGATGGTCAACAGTGTGTTTACAAATGTAATTACAAAAGTTAATTATAGATATAATTACATACTTGTATTTAATCAAGCATAAGTACACAATAAATACATGTATTTACACAATAAGTACATTGTAACAAACTATTAATTCCTATGTAAGTACATATTAGTTAAGGCCACTGAATATAAATGTGACCGAATCAGTTGTTAGTTTTGGTGTAATTTATCATCATTGTGGTATATTTTTGTGTTCATGGAGGCTGCACAAACTTCAGCCTGTCAGAATATCAGGTCCGTAAGTTTCCCTTTGCTGTTTTGGTTAATTTTTTGTTCAAGAAATTGGATGAACCCAATAAGACTGAAAGTCCTTTTTAATACTAAAATATTTTCTTTGAAATCTAAATGTAGGTTATATTTTCCTGCCAGGGTTGCTTATTAAACACTCCGTAACAAATGAAAGACATAATCTTTAGAATAATGACATATTTAAAAAATTTGCAAATATATGACATAAGTTTGTGATAAAACAATAACCGATAGGCATTAATTAAATCCTTGTTTTCTTCAGAGCAAAACAAATCATCACCGCACAAACAAAATTATAATTCGTATATTTTTCTAGGGAAAAATATCTTTTTTAAACAATATTTTTCGGTATAATTTGTATCCTAATATGAAAGTATTTTTTGTTGGTCTATTATCTACTAGATACACAAGAACAAATAACATTTGAGGTGAAGTGCTTCAAAACAAGGTCAGCATATGCTTCAGCACCAAAACACAAACTGGTTTGTTAAATAAAATTATAGCTAATCTATCCTAAATAAAATAAAAGTGAAACATTCAGTTTCAGAGAAGCCTATATTAAACTGTTTTCACAGATGTTGACAAAATCTTCTATTGCACCAATTAGTTTCAAATTAATTCCCAGATTACCTCAGAAAAAGGAACTGGATAAGAGAACTCAATTTTGTTGTGATAATGGAGAAGTCTGCATATTTGTGCCAGTCTGTCAATTAAAATTGCTTAATACACCTCAACATTTTAGAATAACTAATTTATTTTTTGCATAACCAATGATTAATCTTATCTATCCACAAACCACCCATAAATATGGATTTTTTTTTATTACCTGGCCCATGTATTTGATTATCGGACCCCTGATATTTTATTTAGCCTAGCTGTAATTATTTAGCTATAATGAAAGACAAATATTAAAAGTAGGATAGCCTATTCGTTGCTAACAGCATGTGATGATATCACACACTTTAATGATCCAAAGTGCTATATTATTTATTTATGTATGTATGTGATTACATTAATTGCCGGCCCATGGGCTGGGCTTTACACCACTGCAGATAGGTTGCTTTGTACATGCAGACTGTTGGAGATATTTGTTTTGCAGTTGCTTCAAAAGTTTTACTTTCAGCCCAATTGGGCCTATCGCAACAAAGTAGGCATATGTATTTATTTATTATTTTTCATTAACTGCAGGTCCTTAGACTTAGAAAGTGGCAAAGCTCAAAACAGCCCCATGTCATTACGACTGACAGCGTCATTGCCGTGTCCAATATATATAAATATAATTATATTGTATAAACATTATTATAACTATAGCCTAGGCCTACATCATGCTGACAATCAAAAACAAAATGACATGATATCATAGGCGATTGTCTTTTGACCAAGTGCATCTTAAAAGACATGAATGACAGCTCTCATTGAAATTAGGGATGCACTGATATGGATTTTTTGGCCGATACCGATAACTGATAATTCTTCAGACTTGGAGGCCGATAGCCGATATGAATAGGCTGATATTTATAAATATTTCAAAATGTTATATTTTTATACAGCAAACTTCTTAAAAGATTGAACTGCTCTTATGAACTGAATAGTCTATACTGAAAGCAAAATAGCTTTCAAAATTGCAAGGTGATTATATAGACCTATATTCCACCAATTTCACATAAATCAGCATGCAGAAATTACATTACTTCCTTTTCTTCAAAGCAAATTAACATGCAACTTGACTGTTGCATAAAAATAATAGGTTAAATAACAAAATGGGATTTAATCAACAAGCAAGTTAAATATATTCAAATAAGATGAAAATGAAAGAGCTAAGGACTGAAACCAGCTCAAATGGTCTTGAATAAAACGTGTTACAGTGATGTTCACATGTACACGTCATGTTCGAAAAAGCCTTTTTTAGAGGTGTTTTGACAGTTCAGAGCCACCATACAAGCGAACAGCTAAATATAGTTTAGAATTTGCAGCACATATTCATCCTATTTGCCGTTTTAGATTCTTTTGAACACATGTCGGTGCTGCTTGTCAATCAGACTACGCTTCTGCGCTCGTTTTTGCTGTCAATTGCGGGAAAAATTATTGATGAAAAGTTTATGATAAACCGCTGAGTTACCATCAAAGTCAGACTTTCATACAAAACCTGCATTAAGCTGACTTTATGGCAAACACAGAGCTGAAAATAAAGACAGAATGATCGGCTAGTCGAGAGCCTCTATGACTGGATTCATCTCTCACCTCTCCCCCATGCTACAGTGTGTGTGTGTCTGTGTGTGTGTGTGTGTGTGTGTGTGTGTGCTCGTTATAATCAATATGAATATTCCGATCAAACTGAATACAATCTTACATCAATAACACATGGCAAGCAACGCATTGATAACAACAAATAATCAGATTACAAATAACCGTTATGTTTACACGTGTTGTAAAATGTGCAGGCCCTTCAACGGGACTGGGCTGCAGTTTGGGGTGTGTGTGAAGCAGAGAGGGAGAGAGAAAGTAGGAGCGGTTTTTGGGCAATGAGACTGAAATCAATGAGATTTTCAGTGACTGATTTGTTGTACCGCACGGAAAGTAATAAATATTTCGGACCAAGTTACATGTGTCGTCGTTCATTCACCGGCTACAACTAAAAGAGACGACAGTTTACCCTGAAATTAACATTATTTTGCTCAGGAGTAATAAGTCAATCTCCCCTTCTATCTCTAACACAACAAAGAAACGGAGCAGGAACGGTTTACACATGTAATAATTTTCCTGAGGCAATTTAAAGCAAAATACACAATGACACTCAATCAAACACATCTACAATGATAAGGAACATGTTTACTTACATGTTATTTACACACAGCAATAACACATAAAGAAATGACAGACTTTGAAGGAATAAACAGTGTGAGGAGGGATCCATAAGAGTGCACTGGGTCTGAACATGTTCCGTCCACGTGTGCGTGGCAGGCAGGTCTGTACAATTATGTAATTTATAGGCTTAAAGATATCGGCCTAATTTAGACATCAGATCAATAACAATAATCTTAAAAATAGCATTTATCGGCCGATAACGATATGGCCGCCCATATATTGTGCATCCCTAATAGAGATTGTGAAAGGCAAACGCCTGTGCGCTACTTTTCCTCTCCTTAATCGCTGCGCACAGCTCTGCCTGCCTGTGCGTTGTGAAACAGGCATAAAGCCCTTTGAAGATTTACAGTGTTCTCTGCAATGTTTAGGTTTGAAGTAGGGGAATTGAATCCACATTCATTAATAAGTCTAAATAAATACATCTATTACTAAGCCCACATAAGCAACAAAAAAATAAAAAATAAATGAAAGCCCATATGAAAAAGCTTATTTATTTGCTGTCTTAGTTCTAAGGCTAAAAAAATAACTCTACATCTCTATGTTTATCATTTTTATTTGTTAGTTTGTACTTTTATTTTAGTTGTCTTTTGTTAATTTTGTTTTATTTTCTAAATTGAATACAATAATAATAAAACTTGTTTTTAATGATTTATCAAAGAATCATAATGATTTGTTTCATTATTTCATGGTCATTTACAAGTAGCAGGGTATTTGTCATTTACAAGTAGCAGGGTACTGTATATTTCTGTTCATTCGCATCCCGTTCCTTTGTGACTTCTAGCATAGTCGCAAACTCCTGTTGCAACTAAAAACATGTTTTTAATCCCTTACTGTATGTTCACACCAAAAGCGGCGAGAGCGTCCAAGGTAGCTCTGGCTGCCTTGGCGACGACGCTCTCTGCCTTCAGCTCCTGCGGCGAGAGCGTCAAAACTCGCTACATTGATCTCATATTTAAAGGAGCTGTTGCAGCATATCAGTTACATTCCTGAATAAGACATGTTTCTAGCGTGAAAATGTTGCGCACTTCTTATCAAATTCATACAACAATGGAAGATCAAGTTGCGTGTGGTGTGGCTTTGCTCTATTTATCCAATATGTGTCCATATGTCTGAAATATCCTGAAGCACCAGTACTGTTTTGTACTGTCACATCACGTGAGATTCCCGCTTTTTTAAGATAAATTTATATATCATTAATGAACATCAGTAACTCGCCAGTAACTTATTTAATGTATGTTCCTGTAGGAAAAATTTTTAAATAATTGGAAATCCGGCGACCGCAATAATCAAACCCTTGGGAACAACTGTGGTCGGAACCAAAGTTCACAGGTCTGTGTTCTCTGAACTGCTATCAAGCGATGGACGTCTTCATTCTGATTGCTTGCCGCCGAACCGCGTCATAGCTCATTACCATAAAGTTGACTTCATTTCAACTCTCCTCGACGTTCACGCCGGCGAAGACGCGCCGCGCTGCTCCTCGCCGCTTATCGCCGCCGGCTCTCATTGAAAATGAATGACTTCCGGCTACTTTGACGCTCTCGCAGCTTTCGGTGTGAACGTATGGTAAGTCCTGCCACGCAGTTAAGTGCAGCAGCAATTGTCATATTGAACTTTCACCCACTGTAATTATGTAAACTGGCAGTGGACAGGTTAGAGACCAGAAAACAGACATTCCAACACTTTAGCATTGTTTTTCAGATAAACAAATATGTTCACTTGGCATATTTATTAAATATCTGCAAAGATAATATGATATTTACAATCATGGCCAAAATTGTTGTCACTCCTAAAATTTGTCCAGAAAATCAAGTATTTCTCACAGAAAAGTATGGCATTTACACATGTTTTGCTATACACGTTTATTCCCTTTGTGTATTGGAACAAAACAAAAAAAGGAAGAAAAAAAATCTAATTTGACAATGTTACACAAAACCCCAAAAATAGGTTGGACAAAATTATAGGCTCCCTTTCAAAATTGTGGATTAATAAGAGTAAAAAAAAAACTTTAAAAATCTAAAAAACTCACCTAGGGCAAGTGTGGGCAATAAAAAAAAAATCACTTTGTCTTTGCATTGTGTGTCTTGTGTGTGCAACACCAAGCAAAGACAACAAAGAGTAGAAGAGAACTGTCTGAGCATCTGAGAATCAAAATTGTGGAAGAATATAAACAATCTCAAGTTTTTTTTCACAGTGTGCAACATTATCATGAGGTTTGAACCCATGGCAAGATAATCTTGCTGGGCGTGGACAGAAGAGAAAGTTTTATGAAAGGTTGCAATGCTCCAACTGCTTAAAAATGCAGAAACTGGGCACAATTTTACTGTGCGTGTTTGCTGGACAGTCTTTCACTGACACTTACAGCAGAAGCTCCCATTTTACTGCGATTGAGAGAATTAAAGAAAAAAATTAATTTCTCTCACTCTATTACTTTGGCCCATTTGACCTGCTGAGGTGACTTTTTCTCTCCTCTGTTACAGCGAGTTACAGACACAAGCACATTTCTGTAGAGTTTTCTCCACAGTGTCTATCATGAATCAGCAGTGATCGCTGCTGCCGTTTATCAGCGTCCCTCATCTTTGAAAAGCGCCTGCGTGTAAGAGCCAATCGCAGCCCTTTCTGTTGAATGCATGACCAATCAAAAGGATGTAAGAAAACTTGCTATAGACAAGGCACAGAAAGCGAGTGGGATATTTAAATTTGTTTATTTGCTATGAATCCTCATGTTGTTTAAAGGTAAAGTTAATTTATCTGACTGTTTGTATTAAAGGACAAAATTGTATTACAAATAGTATATAAATATAAATATATTTATACAAGAATTGCTGTGCTGTGAAAAAATATATAAAACTGTGTATGGAAAGCATCGTCAATGCACTGTGATGCACCGAGATATCGAATTGAACCGAAACGATGACATGATAATCGTAACCGAACCGAACCGTGAGACCAGTGTAGGTTCACACTTCTAGTGCCTTGACTGTGTGCAAGGGATTATCTAGGAATTATTGAAAGATTTTGGGTTGCAGTGTAGGGCCCAGTGTCAAAAGCTGGGTTTGTGTCCGAGATCTTGGTTCATCCAGCAGGACAATGACCACAAACATACTTCAAAAGTACACAGTAATGGATGGCAACAAAGCGCTGGAGAGTTCTAAAGTGCCTAGCAACACGTTCAGATCTAAATCCCATTGAACACCTGTGGAGAGAACTTAATACTGCTGTTGGGAAAAGGTGCCCTTTCAATATGAGAGACCTGGAGCAGTTGTGGTCCAAAATTCCAGGGGAGAGGTGTAAGAAGCTTATTGATGGTTGTAGGAAGCAATTTTGGCCATGACTGTATATGATTTAGAGAAATTGAAAACTTGAATTCAGCACCTTTAATAAATGTCTCAAAAAATACAACATATTTTGGGACAAAACTTTGACATCTTAAAAAACATGCATGCATAATTTGTCAATACATTAATGTTAGATATTAAGTACCGTTTTTGCCATAAATTTGACAAAGTAATAATTAAAGTTACATTGAAAGGCATAGTTGTGGTAAATGTATTTTATAATTAAGTCCTCATTACATATGAAAATAGTAAATTTTTAACCTAATAGAAGTTATAATTGTGGACATATTTTGCCCCATGTCTCAAGAATCTGTGAAATAACTTAAAAAATATTAGATCTTACTTGCTGATGTCTTGACATTCTGGGAACCTTGTGTCATTGTAGAATGTTCCATTGAAGAAAAAAAATGCAGACTTGTAATGATCCTTAAAAGAAAATTACAAAAAACACAAACTTACTTTTCTTTGCCAGTAGCTATGATTGCATCCAAAGTTGTCAATTATATGTAAAATACACACACACACACACACACACACACACACACACACACACACACACACACACACACACACACACACACACACACTTTTCTAATAAAAAATGCATAAAAATAAATGTAAAAAAAAACTTATAGCTAATTTACATATTTCACGATCTGGGTCATCAAGAGTAAACCATTTTCAAATTAAGACAACACTCTAATATGCAGTTTTGATATCCAAAACAAATTTATTCACTAAGTGCTTCTGTCACTGTGTTTAATCCTTTCTGTGCATGACTGTATGGTAGAGTTAATGCCACATGCACTGTAACGTGTATGATAATCATAGTTCCTTTTGAAATTAAAATAGTTTGCTAAAAGCTACATTTCCGCTGGAGGTTATGAGGTGAACACCAGCAGAAACAGTAGATCACAATCACATTGGGGCAGGGGCACATGTGATACAACTGTACAAATTTTGATGATATTATAACAATCTATCGTTGGCCCCTTATTCTGTTTACTTTGCATAGGTGGGATTTGTGGATTTAATGAAAAACTAGTTGAAAGATGGAAAGAAGACAAAGTTAAAGCTGAAGCCCCCCTGAAAATGACCTCGTCATGCCCAATTGCCCATGGTCTGGTGTTTTTCTTTGTTTAATATTGTAAAAACGATATCTCAACATTTGATATAAAAATGGAAACATAACTAGAGTCTGTTTAAGCCTGCTTAAATTAGGTTTATGTGGAGTATTTTGACTGATAACCTGTGAGTGCCCATGTACATTTCTAACCTTGCTGATGAACTGTGGTACCATGTCTGGAGTGTTGCTGAACTCTCCAAACACCTGCAGATCGCTGACACAGCAGATGACATCCCGAAGATCAGTCAGCTTCTGAGAGCCCAACACATGCAGAGTCTGAAATGCTCTCACAAGCCTAAACTATTATAAAAAATAAAATTATACAAAACAAACAAACAAACAAATAAATTTCATTCAGTAAATGCAGAAACGTACTAAGATTGTATCATTGACATTAGGCCTACATGACTAAACTAAAATTGCGGTTTGAAAATGTGCGATTTTTAAATTGCAAAAGCAATGATTATTTCAATTATTACTTTTGGCAAGAGAGGTAAGCACAAGTAATTAAAACAATTTAACTAATGTTATTTAAAAACCAGACAACTGTTACAGCAAAACTTATGAGACCCAATTGAAAATGAAAGCTGTAAACTACATCTCTGCTCTGCTTCTCTCTTACTGCAGACCTTTGACCTGCTTGCTTAAGGTAATGTTTGCTCTCCTCTCTTGGCTGTTACAGTATTCTTGTGGATTAAGGGCGTACTCACACTATGTTATCTGAACCTTGCCCAGGCCCGTTTCTCAGATTGTTAGAGAAGTGTGAGTGCGCTGAACAGAGATGGGGGACTCAAGTCACACGACATGGCTCGAGTTAGACTTAAGGCACAAAATTTAGGACTTGAGATTTCCTTGACATATATCCAAAAAAAGACTCAACTTGACTTGGACTTGGCTGTCATGACTTGAGTTAAATGACTAGAAAAAATATATTTTTTGTTAAATACACAACTGTTTGTTTTATCTGATGCATTTAAAAACAAAACAAAACTGAAGTCACGCATGCGTAGTATTAAAGAGCCCATATTATACATGAAATAGGGTCATATCTTGGTTGTAAGGGTCTCCAACAACAGTTTAATATGCATGCAAGGTCAAAAAACACTTTCGTGGTCTTATAATCTGCATTTATTTTTACCTAATTATCCCAGCGACTCCTGTATGAATCGTCCAGTGATTCATTTGTTCCCAAACCCCTCCTTAGCGCGAAGCTAATCTGCGCTGATTGGACCAATGACAGTCTGTTGCGATTGGTCGACTGCCTTCAGTCAGAGAGTGAAATGCACAACAGCTAATCAGCAATATAAAAGTAATCACAGTTCATACACGCTCGATAGTGTAGGCGTGGATTTTAGCTGCCAGTGGGTCAATGTAAATACAGACTATGGACTTGAAAATTCCAGCAAAAACTCCAAAAACAGTTGAGGAGATCTCCTAGCTTCTCACTCTTCTCTTTTCACAGACACACACACACATATTGCACACACACACACACACGCACGCACGCACTTAACCCTGCCCCGGACGACAACGCGCACGCGCACACACACACACACACATACATACACACAAACACACACACCTCCGGACGACAGCGCGCACACACGCACACACAGACACAAACTACTCCTCGTCCACGGAGCTCCGTTAACAAAGCAGCACGCGTCACGTTTTTACCGTGACTTTGCACGCGATAAGAGAATATAGCCAGTTAACCTGATACAGTACACGCGGTTACAAGTAACAAATCACAACTAAATACATTTGCAATCTAGAGTCAACGAGGCAACTTTAATCGCACGTACTTACACTTGAGAAATGGAGGAAGAACAATCCATCCTGACATGTCCAGCAGTAAGTTACTCTTTACTGATCCTTCCTTTAACAAACGCTGATGAAGTATTCTTTGTAGCATGTAGTTTCCAGAAGTTTCCAACTGCTTGGCTATAATGCTGAGGTTTCATCTTTGGGTAGAGACTCAATATATCCATCTGCAGTGTGACTTCAATCGACCGGCATGTTTGTGTGTGTGTGTGTGAGTGTGTCTGGGTCTGGGTTTCTGCGTCAGAGGGCGGGGCCTTAGGTTTGAAATCTCCCGGGTTTGCGCGTGCACGTGAATAACTTGGTTTCGTTCGTACGTCATGGCGAAACACCTAATGAATCGGTATCAAGGCGACTCGTTTGAAGCACTATGAGTCGACTCTTTTATAGATGAATCAACAGTTTTAAACACAGTTTTAAACAGATTTAAGCCTTAGCTGGATACTTCACTTCACTTAGAGCTGTGTTACACACTACATGGAGGGGAATTTTCAAAAACCCATAATATGGGCTCTTTAACAGGATCTGGACTGGATCATTTGAGTCAGAAGAACCAATTTAAATGATTAATTTGAACGGTTAATTTGCTATTCGGCAATCAGAATGCGGTGATGAGAATGGAAGGTGTTCTGCCAAAGTAACCTATTTTACGGGTTTGAAGATTAAAAACAAGATGGCTGATCAAAGTTTATACTATTTAGTCTGACTCAGTGCTTGCCACACTTAAGCGGGCCGACTAAGTTTATTTAGTGACAAATTTTTTTTACAGTTATTATCATTCTTCTACACTGTTTTGTATTTTAACCAAACATCTGTGATCGAAGTAGTGGAAAAACCTCTCTCCTTACTGGATTCAAATGGTTGCAAAATATACCTACAGCATTAGTAATCAAAGTATTAGCCTTCTTTAAATAATCTACACGTTTAAATTGTGTAAATATGATTATTTATCAATATTTTTTCGAGATATTTTGTTTTTATTCCTGTTTCTGTCATTAATTTCTCAATTGTTGTATCTTTTATTAATTTGAAGATGTCATTAGGCTAATACATAGGCTATTTTTATGCATATCTAAAATGCTTTTGCATTCAAGTTTGCTTTGAACTTGAAAGACAGAGAGAAACAGATTTGACCTGTCAGCGGTGCTCATGGCTCCTGAATAGGTAAGAAAAAAGGGAATGTCTTTTGTTTTTGTTTTTACTTTAGCCCATTGAAAGTAAACAGTGTAAAACATTGTCAAAATTATTGTAAAATATTTTATAATTTTTATTTGTCACATATGGGTAACTATCTATGTGATGTGGGTAAATGGTGCATTTCAATCCAGCAACCACCGCAAGTATATTTCAAACCTGTGAGAAGCACTGATAGTATTGTATTTGCATGCTAATGTTTAACGTTTAAGTTTTTGACATGTTAGGTGTTAAGTTTAATTTAAAAAAAATTGCATTAAAACAATCTGTTAAATGCTATATTCCAGTTTTTTCCTCACATGCAGATTTCTAATCTTTTTAAAAACAATTTATCGGGGAGAAAAACTAAAGAATTAAGTTTTATTAATTTTGGGAGCCGCGACGTAACTCTATATTGCACAAAACAGGTGTCATTCAATTGTGCTGGTTGTGCCATTAATAAACACTTTATCTGTTTTCCTTGTTTGGATTTAACCAAAATATTTGGTTAGATTTGTGCTGGTTTGTGCCATGAAAATGAACAACAGATATTTATATTTGTGCACAAATATTTTACTTTCGTTTGCTCACAAATTGTGCTCGTTTGTGCTGCAAAAATATTATTTGTAAAAAAATAATATCAGATCATTAAAAGGTCTTCCCACCCCAGTTGCTACATATTTACTAAAATAGTATCATTTGTGTTATGACATATTAAAAAACTTGCAAATATATGACAGAAGATTGTGATACAATATGAGGCATATTAAATTCATAGGCCTACTTTGACTGAAAATCATCCACCTGCACAGTTGGCCTCAAACTAAAATATAATTAATATATTTTTCTTGGAAAAAAATATCTTTTTGAAACAAATTTCGTATATAGTTTGTCTCTTTAAAAGCCGCTTTTCCAATCGTTCGGACCCTTTTTTTATGGAGAACTGTTAGGCTCACATTCCGTGCTAAACCAGGCAAGACAGCAAATCAATTTTTTTTGGAGGGAAAATGACTAAAATTTAACATGATGAATGAAAATGATTGGAGGGGAAATAAATGTATCAAAAATTTCATACATTACAGAAAAATAAACAATGATAATAAAACAATAATAGTGCATTTGTATTATAGTGGCAGAAATATATTTTTTGACAGGCCTTGGGCAAAGTAAGCGGCACTTTCACTAATAAAAAATATAGCACTTAAATTATTTCATTTTTAACAATCAATAAATTTCACAGAGGTTTTATATCAAAAGTTGATAAAAATATAAAATATACATTTTGTTGGTAAAATAACCATTTAAACAATGGCTGTTATTTATTTTAGTATTCAAACATTAAATACAGATTTTTTCAAGTGAAATAAAAATGAAAATGAAACAACAGCATTTACATAGGATGTAAAGCATATTCATATTAAAGCAATTCCTGGTTGAGATTTTAGAAAATATAGCTACCCAGTATATATTAAAGATCACAGAGAAATTACATGTCCCCAAAAATGTCCACCTTTTATTTAACTGAATTGTATAAATATTGAAAATTGCTCATTTTATTTTTATTAAACATTTGTTATTTTTTATTAGCAAAAACAATATCAACATTTAAGAATCTATATTTATTTTATTCATTCATTCATTCATTCATTCATTCGACTTGTTTATTGGTGCATATATAAGCTATAATTTAAATTATACAACAGTACCTTGGACAGCTACAGTGCCACTAAAGCTTTCAAACAAAAGTCCAAAAAATTAAAGTTTTAAAGTTTAAATTAATTTTCTCCGGTGACGGCCGACATCACAACACGCCGTATAACCATCCTTCAGGTGGTAGCCTATAGCCGGCATTAAATTACAAAACAAGCTGTCTGGGCCTTGAATTAAAAAAGTTTAGTTATTTCCTCATTGTTTAAAGAGTCTACAAGTTATTAAATATAAAAAATCTTTATATATCTTTTTATATCTAAAAAAATAAAGCATCTTAAACAATATTTCTACCAGCCCAAACAAATTTAAATATTTTAAAATACGCGGGGAGCTGATATCATTATCTTTCATTCAATATTTTAATAAAAGAAGCAACACTAACGAAACTTTCAGGTACAATCCAGCACAAATGAAACGCACACAAACGAGACTATTTTAGAAAATATGTAGCAACTGGGGTGGGAAGACCTTTTAATGATCTGATATTATTTTTTTACAAATAATATTTTTGCAGCACAAACGAGCACAATTTGTGAGCAAACGAAAGTAACATATTTGGGCACAAATATAAATATCTGTTGTTCATTTTCATGGCACAAACCAGCACAAATCTAACCAAATATTTTGGTTGAATCCAAACAAGGAAAACAGATAAAGTGTTTATTAACGGCACAACCAGCACAATTAAATGACACCTGTTTTGTGCAATATAGAGTTACGTCGCGGCTCCCAAAGTGTTTTAATTAGGCAATATCTAAACAATACAAACAGATAAAGTGTTTATTTTAATGGCATAAACCAGCACAAATCCAACACTAACATATGACACCTGTTTTGTGCATTTTAGAGGAAATAATGGGGCGCTGAGTGACGTCGCGGCTCCCGAAATGTTAAATTAGTCAATATCTAATCAATAAACATAGATAAAGAGTTAATTGTTGTGGCACAAACCAGCACAAATCCAGCACTAACATATGACACCTGTTTTGTGCAATTTAGACAACCTGGGGTGGAGAGTGACGTTGCGGCTCCCGAAATGTTTTGATAAGGCAATATCTAAACAATAAAAATAGATAAAGTGTTTATTTTAACGGCACAAACCAGCACAAACCGAGCACAAACGAATGAGACCAGTTTGGTGTGATTTAGACAACATGGGGTGGAAAATGACGTCACGGCTCCTGAAATATTTTGATTATATCTAAACAGGGAAAATAGATAAAGTGTTTATTTTAACGGCACAAACCAGCACAAACCCAGCACAAACGAATGATACCAGTTTTGTGCGATTTGGAGGAAATGGGGTGGAGAGTGACGTCACGGCTCCCGAAATATTTTGCTTATATTTGAAAGAGGAAAACAGATACCGTGTTCGTTTTAATGGCACAAACCCGCACAAACAACCTGCGCTGTTTTGAAGTCAATTGCCCAACATGGGGTGGAGAGTGACGTCACACTGTTAAAAAATAATGCTTAATATCTTAAACCCCAAACCAGCACAAACGTTCGTTTTTGCGGCACAAATCGGCACAAACGTAACACAAACGAATGGCATAGTTTTGGGGATTATTTGTTTTTATGGGGTGCCAACTTCACTGAGGTATATAATCATATATTGTAACATATACACTTGTAATCATGTTTATCTATCCCTGTACATATATTCATATATTGTAACATATACACTTGTAATCATGTTTATTTATCTGCACACTACTAATTATTAATAGCAACCTGCAACTATATATTAATATTTTGTAAATCTGCTCATAGCTTATCCAACCTGTATATAATTTTGATAGTACATCCATCTGTAAATATCACCATAGTTTTTCTATAATTGCACTTTATAACTTATTCCAGTATCCTGCACTTGCTGCTACTGCACTGCTGGTTAGACCTAAACTGCATTTCATTGCATTGTACTTGTACATGTGTAATGACAATAAAGTTGAATCTAATCTAATCTAAAGAGCACTTACTGAACAGCGCAGCATCGATGACGTAAGGCCCGAATGTAATGTGAGAGCGGGCCGTCGGGGGAGACGGGAGGGGGGACAAGCATGCTTTGGCCCGGTTCAAGGCAACTGTACATAGTGTGAGTACGACCACACATGCACGCACGCACGCACACATGCATGCAAGCACGCACACACACACACAACTCTGCAGAGTGAGTTTTCTCTACCACGTCTATCATGGATCAACTCTGATAACTGTGCATTATAGACCACAGCCATTCATCTGTATGTGTTCTGTTTAGTGTGGAAACACAATGTCAATGACCAATCACAGGTGTTTAAAAACTCACTTGACAACGCTCAAAAAGCAAGCGGATAATGTTTACATTTATTCATTTGCTATAAATGCTCATGTTGTTCTGTGCCTGTACTTGAGTTTTGTTTGACACATTCTTTGTGCAGGCTCCATTTCATATATCTGACTGCTTGCATTAAAAGAAAAATTGTATAACAAATAGTGCATGAATGTGTTTATATATTTTAATACAAGAATTTATGTGCTGTAAAATAAAATGTAAAATTGTTTAGGGAAGGCATTATCGATGCACCGTGATAAATAAAATCCCTGTATTTATCATGGTTGTCACACACTGAACTGGAAACTATTCCAGCATATGTTTTACGCAGCAGATGCCCTTTAAGCCCAGCACTGGGAAACACTCACACACTCTTGATTCTCACACACTCACTCACTCACACACACACACACACACACACACACACACACACACACACACACACACAATATGGCCAATTTAGCTAAATCAATTCTCCTATAGCGCATGTGTTTTGGACTGTAGGGGAAACCGGAGCACCTGGAGGAAACCCACGCCAACAAGGGGAGAACATGCAAACTCCCAATATCTTTTGTGAAATTATGGCAAATAGCAATTTTGATCAGATAAAAATCACAATTAGATTTTTTTTCTCCAAATCGTGCAGTCCTAATTGGCATTAACATTTATTAAAATTAGCATGTTTATATGGTACTTACCCGCTGAAAAAGAATAGGATACATAATATTAAAAGTCAATATGACTTCTCCCTCAGGGATCAGGTCTCTGACATTGTCAGGCCTCTTGCCGACAGATAACATCTCCTTCATGAAAAAAAAAAACAGATTAAGAATAAATGTAATATTCATATGGTGTCTGTAAACAATAACTCACATTGAACATACCATTTCATTAGCATAGACTTCATGTCTGTCAACCATATCTCTGGTCAGAGTTTCTTTATAGTCTTGTCTTCTTTTGCGTAATCTGACGAAGCAGCATAATTAAAACTTTAATAACTTTAACCAAGATGTATTGAACTAAATCTAGTGCTGGAAGGCGAAACTTTAACATACTTCAGTGTGGATAGATGAGACTCTGATGGTATAATGTCCTGGTCTTCATGTTTACTTCTCAGGGAATCAACACTGACAAGACAGTATGTATATATGTAACTAAGTATGCACGTTTGCGTGTAAGCACGTTCGCTATATAACATATATCAACCCAATTTTACCTGCAGATGTTTTTGAGTTCCTCCAGTATCGCTGGCTCAATGCCCATCTCCTCGATTAATTCCACATCCTCTATCTCTGGGGCTGTGCCACTGTATGAATACATCTCCGGATTTAGCACATCTACCCATAATTTTCGAAATGTGCCGATATGAAACTCCTTAGAGTTTACGTCCACGAATTCATAAACAGGTACGTTTTCACATGGCATCTCTTTGCGTATCTCCGCCATAATTCTTCGTCTTCTTCTTACGTTTATGGCGAATTGCATTTTTTGTGCACATCGCCATCTACTGTGCTAGTTATGGGACACTTCGCACTCCAGCACAGAAGGCGGCAGTAATGCAACTCGCCAATATCTATTAATAGAAGAAGAAGACACCGCCGCTGCAAAGTTGCTTTAAGGAACCAAGGTATTTACAAGATGCACTTTTCAAACGACATATTAGACGTGTTTCGAGATTCACCACGGATTTATGCGTTTTAGTCATGCGTTAAAGTATTGAATACGGAAGCTTGCCACTCAAATGTTGTATTGAATTATTCTTTCTAATCCACCCTTACAGAGTGTGTCATTCAGAGATTTGATTTTACAATATTCATCATTAACAAAAGGCATCTATGGAAAATTTGTTTAATCCGTGTCAGCATCCCAGCACCCTTCAACCACCCCAATTTGGAATCGCGAAATTATGAAAGATTTATTAAAGCATTTTACTAAAAATGCATAGTTTATACTTAACCATCTAAACAAGTATTTAGTGATGTGTTTAGAACCGCATCTCTTCTGTATGCGCGATTAAAAAGAAATACAAGGGCATAATTCTGTTTTGACGTTTAACAGTCATGTGCATAGCAACACTGCAATCACTCAACCTGCCCAACAACAGAACACCCCAGCAACAAGTCTACAAATCAAGAAGACTTTAGCTTAATTAAAGTGAGTTTGAAAAAATATTAAAAAGTTTAAAACAACAATTTCCACTAAATAACCTTGTGGTGAATGGAGGTTTTGTCCATTTGTGTGAGGATTCACCTCCAAACACATTAAACAGAGTTGATTGTGTCTTCTAATAGTGTCTGTGGTGTGCGTTTAATGGCCCCTCAGCGTAACTCACAGTCAGGAAAAAAGAAAGTGTCCCAGGACCCAAAATGTATCCTAAAAGGGGGGTTGAATCATTAAAATATAAATAGGGATTACACAACATCACTAGTCAGACTGATGTCAGAACTAAAGGTAGTCAAATTTAGAACATACCTTGTTAACAATTCATTTCAGGGTCCACTCTTTTCCTCTACCATCCTATTTGGTGCCAGCTGCAGCCGTCTTGTAAAAAATATTTCTATGCCCCCGTCATAGGCACTAGAAAGGTTTTTTCTAACATAATCTATTAGAAAAACAAAAGATTGACTAGTGTGTCTGTGCTTCAGTGTAACACAATCCTTCATAAATTTTTTTCATTCATTCATTCATTTTCTTTTCGGCTTAGTCCCTTTATTAATCTGGGGTCGCTACAGCGGAATGAACCCCCAACTTATTCAGCATATGTTTTTACACAGCGGATGCCCTTTTAGCTGCAAGCCATCACTGGGTAACATTCAAATTTACTCATTCACACACAAACACTAGGGCCAATTTAGCTTGCCCGGTTAGGGTCTTTGGACTTGTGGGGGAAACTGGAGCACCTGGAGGAAACCCAGGCGAATGCAGGGAGAACATGCAAACTCCACACAGAAATGCTAACTGACCCAGCTGAGGTTTGAACCAGCGACCTTATTGCTGTGAGGCGACAGCACTACCTACTGCGCCACCGCATCGCCTACATAAATCTTTTTAAGATGTTGATTTAGTGCTCGAAGCTGCTCAAGAAACAATTCTGATTATTATCAATGTTAAAAACAGATGTGATGACAAATACTGTTGTGTGAAATTTTTTCCCAAAATTGATTGTTAAATAGACTCTAAAACTCAAATATTTGTGTACACTACAGCAGTCAGTGAGATATTTTAGTAAATGCATATTTATATTCAACAAAGATGCATTAAACCAGAAATTCTCAACCACTAGTGGGCCTCAGAGATCCTGCAGGTGGACCTTGAGCTTAAAATTAACATAGTTAATGTAACATAGAGGGGTAACATAGTTTACCCCTTTTTTTATAATTTAATATTAGTATTATGGTTCTACTGAGTTATAAAAATTATATTGGTATATTTTTTTTGCCATAACGCCCAGCTCTATCTCTGGGAAACATTAAAACATCCGTGCTAATTGATGTTGCACTAGTGACATTAATCTGTAATATTTGGAAAAAGTGCATGGTGTAGACCAGGGGTGGCCAACCCTGTTCCTGGAGAGCCACCTTCCGGCAGATTTCAGTTGCTACACATATCAAACACACCTAAACCAATGAATTAGGACCTGAACACCATGTGATAATTACAGGCAGGTGTGTTTGATATGGGTTGCAACTGAAATCTGTAGGAAGGTGGCTCTCCAGGAACAGGGTTGGCCATCCCTGGTGTAGACCATAATGCTGCAGCAAAAATTTTCTCCGCTTGAACTCCCTTGAAGCCCAAAAAGTTGCCACACTTCTGGTTGAATGGGCTGGAAATCCTTCCGGCACTAGCAGCCAATTTACTGTATAGACCTGAGAGATAACTTCAACCAACCAGTGAGACGGTCGTTGTTTTGAAAGAGACAAGTTTTGCCATAACAAAAGAAAAGCTGAGAGTGAGTTTTCCTTAGGGGTTGAGTAGCACATATATAAGTGTGCAATGCTCTTACTGGACATAAGGTAGATAAATCCTTTTGTGATATCTGTAATGGAGGTTGAAATTGGTCCAAATCTATTACCTGATTCTCAAATCAAGGACTACTTACTTCTGGCAAAAATAAAGGATTTGACTAAGTGACACTCCACTGACTGACAGAGCACACAATTATCTTACGCTTTTAGCAGAGCAAATGGCCAAAAGGAACGCTGTTTTTAGTAACAGATTTTTAAGATCTGCTTCTGCTAATGGCTCATAGCATGACCTTGTGAGAGAGTTCAATATAAGAGGTAAATCCCAATTAGGTGCTCGTAAAGTGCGATTTAGCACCATAAGACAGACCCCTTTTAGGAACTGCCGTTCTAAGGGCTGTCGACTTAGTGGTTGGCCAATTACTCCCTCATGAAATGCCGAAATGGATGAGGTGTAAACTTTAATAGTACTGACTGCTCTGCCCTTGTCTATCTGAGACTGTAGAAAACGAAGAACATATGGCACTGAGCAGGATACTGGGTCAGTATTCTCACTAAGGAACCATTTTGAAAAGTTTTCCATTATAGCATAGTTGGGTTATTCTCACGAAACCATTAAAACAACATGGCACGTAAGATTTTAAATATAAAACGTAGTAATTTTTTTATTAAAAAAAAAATTTTAATAAAGACAATGCGGTTCTCTACGAAGCACAATGTGTAATTTCACCATAATTTATTTATTTTTAATAATTTTACTGCATTTTCTACTTAAATTCTCATTACATGTATGTTTGAATGCTTGTTATGTTGTAATTTAAGCAAATTAGCATACATAAATTAGCATAATTTACAGAATATTCATGCATAATGACAATTAGAAAAAAAATTTAAAATTATGTGTCCGTGACAGATGTTCTCATCCTCCGCAACCATTTAAAGGTACTGTTTAAACACACATAAAAAATTTAAATAAAGTAATTTTTTTGATGAAGGAGCACATGGGCCAGTTGTTTCAAGATTAACATCATTAGGAAAGAAAGATCTTTTATATTTTTCCAGTTTAAAGTAAAATTTTCTCCTGTCAAAATGGTTACACTGCTTTTTTTTAATATAAACTTTATTTATTGAACACAAGTGGAAAGCATTCGTTGTATACAAATGTCCAATTTCTGCTTTTCTTTTTTGAACACTTTTGTAAACATTCAACCCCAAAACCCCCCACCCATCCCACCCATACAAACACATAGCCATTTTTCTTGTAAAACATATAACAGAAGACGGAGCAATAAAAAAATAAAAAAATATTAATAATAAAACAAAAATAATAATAGTAGTACAATTTGAGATAAATACATAAATGCTTTCAAATAAATAAATAAATAAAACTAAATAAATACATTAGCTAGTTACATCAACAATAATGATGGGCTACCAACTTCTTGGTTATTATGGTTTTAGTTGTGCTGAGGTTAAACCAATGCGTCTAGTTTAGGGCATGACAGTTCCGGAAAAAAAATGCTAGACTAAAAAAAAAATAATAATAGTAATTCCGACCATAAAATGATTTCTTAAATAATCACCTCCAGAGGTGTTAAATCATCAAAATAATTTAGTAGTGGCCTCCAATAAGTATAAAACTTGTGAGGCGAGCCTCTGAGAGAGAACTTAATCTTCTCCAATTTCAAAAGACTTAAGATGTCGTGTAACCAAACTGATTGCGGGTGGTTGTTTCGATTTCCACATTAAAAGAATTCTTTTGCGAGCAACAAGGGAGGAAAAGGCGATGACATTATTTTGAATGTTTGTGACATGAAAATCATCTGGGTGTTTTCCAAAAATAGTGATGTGAGGGTTTGGGTTTAGATTAATGTCCAAGATATCTGAGATTGCCTTGAAAAATAACCGCCAGAATTCAGACAATTTAGGGCACAACCAGAACATATGAGTGAGGTTGCATGGGGTCTGTGAGCACCTATTACATTTATTATCTAATTTGTCTGGATAGAGCTTTGAGAGTTTCTCTTTGCTATAATGTAGTCTGTGGAGGACCTTAAATTGTATGAGTGATAGTCTGGCACAACTAGAAGATGCATTTACAGCATTTAAGGCCTCCCAGAAATTGTCAGAGAGATTTAATTGAAGTTCTGATTCCCAATCCATCTTAATTTTATTCAGGATAGATTCGTTAGCTGGAGAGAGTAAATTATATAAATATGAAATACGGCCTCTTGTCAAGTTTTTGGCTTTAATGATCAAGTCTATCCCACTAGGTATTGGGATATGTGGGAATGAAGTTGTGTGTGTTCTTGCAAAATCACGTAGTTGGAAGTATCGGAAAAAGTCTTATCTGTTTAAACTAAATCAAATAAATTGCAAATAAATCTTCAATATACAAGTCTCCTAACTCTCGTATTCTCTTATTCTCTAAGCTGATAAAATCTGAGTCACTTTTAGCTGGTATAAACAAATGATTATTGCGAATTGGAGTTGATAATGGGAGGGTGAGCCAGCCAAAGTTGCGTCTT